CCACAAACAAGTTTACAAAGAACATAACAAAGAGCAGATTACATGTACAATTTGGCGGCCTTATCGCTACTTAGCGATCTCTTCCAGGCAAACAAAGATGTAAAGGTATAAAACAGTGAATACTAGGTAGGTGGTGCAATAGAAATATACCTAATATAATATCAATACATGCAATAAAATAACATATAAATAACAAATTCATTAAAAATGATACACATACATACGTATATACATAAACATATATATATATATATATATATATGTTTAGTCAAGTAATACTCTTTAAGAAGTCTTTCTTCGCTAACGAGCGCGGTTAAACGCATAGTAGAGCCACACTGCAGCTATATTATGATTGTAGCATAATATAACAGTGAAATGGCTCAGCACGACCGGAGAAAGACCACGCTCTCACAGGATACCAGCGTAAAATGGCAGCTTAGCCTAGCTAACATTTTACTGCAAACCGGGTATTCCATCGTAGTCCTCAGGGCAACGCATCTAAATTTCTAATAAATTAATGACAATTTGAATAAAATAGCAGCTTAATGCCGCTCTGTTTCAAATGATAAGTGTATAGAACTTGAGACCCTTTTCACTGAAAATGAGGCATTCCATCTAAGTCCCGAGGGGTCAAAAAGCTTCTGCATTTTGTCTATGGGCCACAGGGTTACTTACTATTAAGTTGGCTGTGTGCTCGTATGTTACCCTTATTCTATAAAAGTTGAGATGTGATGTTAAAATAACTAACGTTTATCAATTTTTTATGTTACGAGATTAGCAGTAACAAAACGTTATAAATTGCCGCAAACATTAAGTTAATAACTTCGTATTTTTATAGACTTGTTAATAACGCACAAATATCTTAGAATAGAAAAAAAAAACGCGGCAAAAAACACAGTTACAAAAACAATGATATAAAAATTTTATGACGTAGGTTAAAATTAGTCAACTAAGTGCACAAACTAGTAGATATTACTGTATTGAATTGTGTGCTCGTTTGTCGAACAACTCTATGATTTTGACAGAATCCGGTATTTGAACCCGAGATGTTTATACAATGTAGACCACGGAGCCGTTAGATTATGGTTTAGGACGAATGCGTCGGCTTATCAAGGTAAGACTACGATCTCACGGAATACCAGCTTCAAATACCAGTTTAAATCTATTGTGTTTCGTATGGTGAGTATAGAGAACTGGAGTGCCTTTTTCTGAAAACAAGGCATTCTAAGTTAGTCGTCAGGGGTGATAACACATCTGCCTTTTGATTCGTAATCGAGTATAGATGTAGGTATTTATGGGAGACTGGTGTCTTAGTTGTACTGTTTGCTGGTTAATTATCCTAAATAACCGCACCCTAAGAAAACCTTAAAAACTTAAAAAAATCTGTCAAATCTTATTTATAAATGTGATAATAGTAAATTTTAAATAAATAAATAAATCAAGCACTAAGTTTATTAATAGTGATTAATAAACTGGCTTGGATGTGAAATATGGACCTGAGACTCACATCAGCGTATAGTGTTCTGACTAAGACCTTGAGCATATTGTGTTCTTCATCATCAGCCCACCATAAGTTAACTGTTGAACGAAGGCCCCCCATAGATTGCTAAAGTTTATGACCCTGACCCATCTGCATCTATTGACGATTAGCATGTTCCATCAGGTATTCGCACTATTTATCACGTTCTTGTTAGTCAATACGACGTATAAAACAAGTGTGAACGTACTTCCAGTATGTCCACACTTGTTATATAAAATGTTTTGTTTTTAATTTGAAATCAGTTGTTATCAATGGACTCGAAAACCACACATTTTCCTTAAATTTATAAATATAATATATGTTGCGTTACTTAATCAAACATTTTAAAACAGGTTATAAAATTTAAATAATTATGTGACGCAAGCCTTTATTTCTTTATTTAATTTTTTATCTGAAATTTACATGTTGTACCGATTTATCACATTCAGATTTTTTTAAAGTCGTTTAATAAGTAATAATATTTCTCTATTTCTTTAATTAAAAAAAAACCTAACTTCCTCAGTAATATTTCCTTCTGTATTATCTACATACAGAAATAGCACAGGGACACAGGTTCTAGACTCGGAGTGTTTATTTGTAGGCCATACAAATATACGTCCCATGCGGGATTCCAATGCGCGACTCTGCAGCTTGTCGGTGCCAGTTATTACACACAACAAACAGTCCTCCAGACACAATTTTGGCCAAAATTCGCGATACCATCCATAGCATTTGGATGATTGGCGGTCCATTACTGTGCGGTTTGAAAGAAGTTGTCTTCCTCGCACAACTTTCTTGTAGAATCGACTACCACCAGAGATTTTTCCGGATCGATAAGACTTAGGGACCTTTAAGAAAAGAGCTTACTCTTTTTAAAAAGGCCGGCAACGCATCTGCAATTCCCCTGGTGTTGCGGTTGATCATGGGCGGCGGTAGTCATTTACCATCAGGTGAGCCGTATGCTCGTTTGCACATGTTGTCCTATGTACTATTAACAAATATAACAATATGAGGATGGTAGACACGTCGAAGATATATAACGGCAAGCGAATGCAATTTAAAATGTAAATTGGACTCTTCACTCTATTGTGAGAAGTAATGAGTGTGTCAATAAAGGCACATATGGCATTTACAATGGTGTGCTGGTTCTTTAACTTAAAATATGTTAGTAAAAGTTGAGTGTGGCAGATAAATCATGAAAGTAAAATGAACTATTTTAAAATGCGGTAATTAAGAACTACGTTACGGTTGACTCTGCATGATAGGGTGTGGAATTATGTGATAAGATAAAAAAAAATTTCAACTGTCTACCTATTACGGATCATGAGATACAGCCCGCTGACAGACAGGCGGTCAGACGGAAGAACAACGGAGGCTTAGCAATAGGGTCCCGTTGGTTACCCTTTGGATACGGAACCCTAAAAACGGGCCAATTTAAGGGTACCCTTTACTAAAGTGCGTATATGAATGCGGAGAAATGAGGTAGATGTGCAGGATCGCTCCAAATGGAAGGTGTCACCTGAGTAAGAGTTTATGTTGTTGTTGTAAGATATGTGACGAGACGACCTGGTAAAAGATGTAAAAGCCGATGTGGCTCAGGATCTTGCTTTGTGCCATTCCTTCGCGAGGCCTATGTAAACTTGTAATTGACTGTAGTAATAATGTGTAAGCTATATAAGACAAAGCAATACTCAGTAGAAACAATTTACTATAATTTACGCGAAAAGTACACATTGAACAAAACCACTTCAATAATTTACTATACACATACGTCTAAAATTGCATGGTATGGACAAAAAATTTATGTTATTGTCATTTATGAAGATAACAATAAGTAAATTACTATTACGCATTCATATTTTTTGTTTAATTTGTAATAAGCCATTTATTTATTTTTTGTTTGTAGGATTTTTATTACAGAAACACAAAAGTTAGTTTATCAGAATTGCATAAATATCATACGTCAAGAAACACCTTTTTTATATCGGGCTCGTCTTCCAATGTGTCTTTATGGAGGGAAAATTGTTCTGGGATAGGAAATGCGTTATTTATATAATATGCATTGTTAACGTTGGTATAGTTATGATAAAATAAGGTTTAATTTCATGGTCTTTATTAATATTGGTCCCTTTGAATATTGATTAGCACCACATGCTTGTATATTTTACGTTCGAGTAGACTTCAAATTTTCATAAATGTAGTTCTATTCACGGTGAACTTGTAAGAAGAATTAAATCCATGAACAGGAGTAGTAATCTACATAAGATGGGCAGCAGCATCTTCCTGATCATAGTTCAAAATAATAAAAATATGCAGTTGGCAACTTGCAAGCCAAGCGTGGCGACTATGGCAAATATCCAACTTATTTGGCAGTCTGTTGAAGAAATCCAATTGATGAACAGGAGTAGAAATAATATATTATCCATGTAGAGGCAGCGAAAAAGAAACCACTACCCCATTTCGTCCTGTGGGTGTGTTGAGAGGCGACAGAGGGAAACTGAAACAGGAGATGGGCAGCATCTTCTTGATAACAGCGCAAAGTAATAGAGAGCTGCGGTTGCCAACCCGCAGAGTGAATACTACTGCATATACCCGGACTATTTGACAAGCAATGGGGGAAGCCTATGATCAGCAGTGAATAGCCCTATTAACAGTAAAAAGTAACAGCCTAAATACATCCCACTAATGGACACAGGCCACTGCGAATTTTAGGTCAAAAAGAACTTTATTAAGTTGACTCCAACGCGGGATGACGGAATTCACATATTACTCTTATTATTCTATTAGTCAAAATATTTTTTTTGACTTCTCAATTATGCAGGTTTCCTTGCAATCTTTTTCTTCACAACCGAGAACGTGGTCAATCGGAACTTCAAATTGCAGTTAAAATATGCACCCGTGCAAAGCTGAGGTGGATTGCTAGTTGCTACTTCAAAACAAATAACCCGACGGCAGCGGTCCAACAAATTTATGTTAATATAATATTTCACATGATTTTTAATTGAAGATCTATAAAAACTCTCACAAAGAGTTTTCTCCTATATCATGGGAGCATTATAGATGTAGGTATAAAGTAGTTACGATTCAGACTAAAATCAAGTTTGTTTATGTGCATGAATAAGGTAAATAAAGACATTAACACAACTATAAACATCTTATTTTATCTATTATTTCGGTGTGAAAATTTTACTATATTTATTACTTAATGAACTTTCATATAGAAGAAAGCATACATTAGATTAATTTAAATAAAGTGAAATTCTTACAGTAACTATTAAAAAATATTGAAAGTTTGATGAGTGAAAATAAAGCCAATAATAAAAATAGTTGTATCACGGTCAACTTTAAACAATTTAAAAAAATACATATAAGTGATGTTTAATATAATATTTTGCTTTCCTTTGTTACAGATAAATGAAAAATGGTGGTGGGGGCCAAGATGACGATCCAGCAAGTGCCTAGTAAGGGCCGAATTTCTATCATGAAGATCCAGAACTTCACTGTTCAAAAAAGACGTAAGATATAATATTATTTCTCTAGTTCTAAAGTTTATACGTTATAGAATGAAATGCACAAAATATCAGCGTCAAATAGCAGTATAACATGCTGATATGCTTCGTACTGTGAGTAATGATAACAAAGTACCTCTTTGCTAATAATAAGGCATTTCATATTAGTCCCTAGGGATAATAATGTATTCTGAATTACGATTAATAATCTAGGACAGATGTATCACGGTCCACAGCAACCACTTGCCATCAGTATGATCTGAAGGATTGTGAAGGATTATATATTTGTGGGTGTATTTAATATATTCTGTGTGGTGATGGTATAAAAGAATCCTTCACCACATTTCGTCTCATGGGGTCGTAAGAGGTGGCAATGGTAAACGCCAGAAACAGCTTTAATACGTGGTACATAACATTTTATATGTGGTAGAGCCATCTTGCAGTTATATTATAGTTGTAGCATGAATGCGCTGACTCGACCGGAAAAGGATCACGCTCCCACAGAATACCAGTGTAGAATAGCAGCGTAATGCTGATGTGTTTCGTATGGTAAGTTTGTACAGAACCGGAGGCCCTTTTAACTAGAAAAAGACATTCCGTCTTAATCCTCAAGGGTGACAACGATAGATGTCTGTAGGCTACAGTGTTCACTTACCGTCAGGTGCTTGGTACACAGGGCTGTCTGTTTTTTGGATCCCATAACCTAGAGCGTGGTTCTCGCCTGCATTCGTGCAGCGATTATGTAGAGCTAGTACTGCAGAGTGGTTCTACAACGTTTATTGTATAGTAAGTACAATGTAGTCTTTCAATGTTTCTGTCACATTGAAAAATAACTAAATCTCATAAAATTAATTCTAAACAATAATAAAACTGCTTCCATTTGTTCTAAACACATTTAATTTATTTAATCATAAAAAGCTTCCTGTTTCCTTATAGATAAGAATCTATGCAATAAAATCATTGAAATAAAGTCTAACCAAGGATAAGAAATCTGTTTATAGTTTCATAGTAAAATAAATATTACGATATATTAATTTAAGCCATTTGCTGCCGTCTTAAATGAATCCACCACCAACATATTTGAATTTGTGGCGGTCACAGGTCGACAAAATATCTTACAAACATCTGTACCTAAAGACATGTACATAATCATAAATTACAATAATGACATAAAGATTTCTTATACGCGAACGCTACACATTTAAATAAAACTAGTTTTTACGGATTTAATCGCGTATATTAACTTATTTTATATTCCCGACGTTTCGAGAACTTTACAGCGCCCATGGTCACTGGGGGGGGGGACTGAGGAGTTCAACGACGAGTTATAATATCTTGAAGTCTTGCATTTAAATTTATTAATTATAGGATATATATATATATATATATATATATATATATATATATATATATATATATATATATATATAAATATAAATAAGTTAATATACGCTATAAAATCCGTAAAAGCTAGTTTTATTTAAATGACGTAAAGATTCCCTTTATGCTTTACTATTTGGTATAATTGATACCTGTGGACTGACTCGTTGATCCAGTGGCCGTAACGCCGTTACTGATTATCTGGGCTTGGGTTCGAATCCCGGACCATTCTAAAATCAGTTACTGCGTTTTTCCGTCAAGAAATTCTTAATAGCAACCCCAAGTCAGGAAGCCGGTGGTATTTCACCCCCGAACTTCAAAAAACACGTAAATACGTTGGTCCTTCGGTTGTTCTCTCTCCGTCCATGTCGGATTACCGCCCCAACAAGGGAATATAGAGTACAGCTGTTGTGCTTGCGCATGCACTTGAGCACTTTTATCCTTTACAGCGCATACGGCTAGTCCTTTTTTTTGACTTGTGGGAAGAAAGTAGGTGACATAATCACAAATCTAATAAAAAGACATCTATATTCTTGCTTTTGTTATTCCAGAGTCAGTAGTCAGAGTGGTCTACGGCACACTTTTGGCGATCCTGGCGGTTGTGTCAATGGCTGTAAACCCTGTAGACATTTTCACGAATTGGGTAAGTGGTTTTTATTAGTCTCAGATCATCTAAGAAAGCTACGAAGCGCTGCGTGTGTTTCAAGTGACCCCGGTATGAAGGCAAAAGCATGTTTAATTTATCGTGAGAATACGCACTTATGCATATAGAATATGCATCTTAAAGCATTTGCCACCAACAGTTGAGTTATATTCAGGGCTTTTAAAGAATGATGTGTGCGTGAGTACCTGTCAAGAAGTTAAGAATAGTTTCGGCGTCATTTGACTTTCGCATCGCTCCGCGTAACTTTTTAAATGACCTCCTCGAGTTACAGCCTAAGCCAAAAAAGCTACCTATTAATATCCATGTAACGATGTTATGCTGGATAAAATATTATGATTTTAAACTAGCGATCTGCCCGGCTTCGCAGGGGTGATTTCTGGATCACGACAACAGCGCCACCTACCGGCTCCAATTGAGTTATTAAAACATCCAGGTACCCAAATACACACAAAAAATAAGACAAGTGGTAAAATTAAAAAAATTGTACAACCGACTTCAATACGACCAAGTCAGTGTATTCGAAATCAATTAAATACGCATTATTTAAGGATAACTCAAAAACTACTTTTTAAACCTAAACTTCTTTTAAATATAACAAGACTATTATCGAAAATATCTAGATATGCTTTACTACGATTAATCTTGTCATAATTACAGCACATTTTGACAACAGGTTTGAAAAAGGAAGTGTTATTCCTGTGTACGTCTAACCTAAAATTCTTTAAACGTAAAGACATCCGCAGTAGAACCAGAGTGACTGACATTTCCCAACGGATTAGTAAGCTAAAGAGGCTATGGGACAGCCGTATACCTCGAAGAACCGATGGAGAAAAAAGGTTCTCGAGTGGTAGCCTCGTACCGGTAGGCTTAGTGTTGGGCGACCCCCCTCTAGATGGTGTTGCGACCTGATAAGACATACATGAAGTTGATGGATGCGGGTGGTTCAGGACCATGCTCTATGGCATTCCTTGGAGGAGGCCTATGTTCAGCAGCGGACTTGTGATGATGATTCTATGAGAGCTTTGTGTAATAAGACAGAATATTGTGTATATTACGTATGTTTTACATCACACTACACTAAATAGTTTAATTCATTGTTTGATAATATTGTATTACTCTGTAATTTACTTTTTTGTAATGATTTATGAAAATATAAATGAAAATGTGGTACTAATTTAATATGTGCATGTAGTTTTACATTTTAAAGCGCGAGAATAAAATTACAATTTAATTTCTGTAACTTTATGCATTCGCAATGCAACTATGTGGCAACGTTTATTAACTTTAATTGAGTTAATTAATCCTACGCAGTTATTTACTATAAATAATAATAAATTGTATCGTTTTAATTTAAAAATATGTTAATAGTTCATAATTGCATTAAATTACACGTTGTTAAGCATTAAGCACCATTTCAGTTCACGTCGTTTAACTTTAAAAGGAAAGACAACCTAAGAAGCGTTTAAGACTATCAAGCAGCTCATCTGATAATAATTAGCTACTGTAACTTATGTAAGCCACATGCACAAGGTTTATAAAACCCCTGGGATTGAGGTGCTCACTTCTAAGCTTAATAAGTTTTGTAGTTTGTACAACTTTTCTTATTGTATAATTAATTTATTTTGAAAAAAAAATGTCCTGCTGGGTTTCTTGCCGTTCTTTTCTGAACATAGGTTTTTTTCAGAACTAGTGGTATAAGTAAAACTGACTTTCAATAAGAGTTAAATCCATATTGAATAAAAAATATTCTATTCTATTTAACTTCAAAGCTCACAAAAGCTTTGTTACCCCCGAGGGCTGAGATAAAATGTCTTACAACCTGTTATATAAAGATAATAGTTGATTGAACTATATAATACACAATGTTAAGCTATTCTCTACTATTTTTAAATCCCATTGGATTTCTTTCCAGGAAATTCTTCACACAAAACTTAAGAATAAATTTCAATAACTCTGACACTATTATGAATAAAAAAAAAACAGAAACAAGAGGACTAATTCTTTCTCCACCAGCGGCTAAGTGTCACTATGCTGCACGAAATAGGACTATGCTATACGAAATAGGGCTATACTATAATTTCAACATTTAGTTTATTGTAATAAATATTATATTTTATAAAAGAAATAAAACCATCTGTATTTAATTCTATTTCTATTACTGTTCTGTTGCTATAAAAGTCCACTGCTGGACATAGGCCTCCTCCATAGATCGTCTCGTTGGGGAGATATCGCCTTAGTTGTCACTTTTGGCAAGCGAATTGCCAACCGCAACTTTTTTATGAACTTGACTCTTTACGAGTTATTTATTCTACTTCTTGTCCCATATTGCCGCTCTCCCTTTCTGGGTATGACGAACATGTAAAGCCTTCAATTCCGGGCTGAACTTCAGTTATGTGTATCTTCCACATGGCAGTCTTCTTAGCATGCCATTCATGCCATAGGATAAAACATTTTTTTCCTGTCCTGCGCGGATGGCTAGTCTCCATTAAGTTTTGCCGCTGTAACCAAAGTAAGGTCTGGAGGACATTCATTTATTCCTTTATTTCACTATATTAAATAATAACATTTTAAGAGTAGAGTGTAAACTCCACCCTTTTTCTTAATCCTGACTTAAATAACGAAATTTGACAGTGGTAACAACGGTATGCGTATTCTTTGAATCCATACGTCCATCTATCTATTTTTCTTGAGCTGACTACTCTACCATAAGAGATTTTCTTGGCATATAAAATACTGTAACGTAAACAGATATTCATATTTATTGACATACTTCATAATATAATTGCACGTCAAAGTACTGGGAATTCGGATCATGAGATTTTCAATCCCGTACGTACGTGTGTGCTTGCGTGAGTGGAGCTTATTATTTACATTAGAGACATTATTATATATTTCATAAGAATTTAAATAAAGTACAAATAATCGTTTTACGCTATCATTATTATTATTTAAAGCATATACATTTATACTATTGCTTTAATTTTAGCTAGCTTGATTAACATTTTTACTTAACGATATTTTTTATAACGTATGTGCATTACTTACAAGCATTATTGACAATTATAACAAAATATCAGTAATACTACAGCTTATATGCGTCCAATAACGGGGCACAGACCTCTCATTCATGAGTACTTTAGCACAAGAAGACCCTAAGTCTTAATGCATGTTAATAGACCTCATTACGGACTATCACAAGTTCACTGCTGAACATAGGCATTCTGCATACGTGCCTTTTGAGGGAATATTTGCCATAGTTGCCACTCTTAGCGGGCGGGTTGGTAATATCAATTTTTATTTTTATTTAGCTGTTATTTTTAAGATCCCATTGTTCATTTTCCCTTTGTCGCCTCTTACGACACCCACGGGGTGAAATGGGGTTATGGATTTTCTTACACCGTCACTGCACGGTAACCAGCCACCGTGACGTCATTGCATGTCCTTCAAATATTTTGCCTACGAAGTTTTCCGTCACGTGTGAACACGTGGGGTAAATTATCATTTTAAATCAGTTAGCAATAAACAAACACATTGTTGCCAACACGGATCGATCTCAGTTTGCTTGCGTCATATGTGTATTCACTAATCCAATCAGAAATCACAGTTCTTTCAGATGTTACTACCTGTACTGTTATGTATTATGTGGTACTACATAAATAATTATGTTCTGCAGACCAAATTTCGGTCATGGTGGTCAGTCTCAACGGAGACTAGCCATCTGCGCAGAGCAGGATTATAGTGACCGAGTGTATACGAAAAGGACAGGTGCACTCTCTATTTCCTCATTCTCATAGTCCAATGTAACAGTAATCCGACACGACCAGAAAAAGACCAGGCGCTGGACCTACGTTTTTAAGTGCTTTCCAAGGCACGAGAGTGAAACATCGCCACTGAAAGAAACTCATGACAAAAATCTGATTTTGGTCAAACCCGGGATTCAAATCCAGGACCTCATGATTAGCAACCGAGTTTACGACTACTAAACCAACGAGGAAGTCAAATAATCAATAATGGCATAAATAAAATCCATTGTAATTGACATTATTAATTTACTGTAACTCTTTTGTAAGTAAGTGTGTGCGATATCTTCATCAAATTTGATCCAATTATAATGGTTCCTTTTTAAAAATAGGTTATTTTTTGGAAATGATATAAAAAAATAATCATGTGTAAAATATAAAATTTTCTAATGGAGAGTAGCTTAGATGTTTGGTTTTATGTTATTTGGGTTTCGGTGGAAAACCTAGAGGGCCTACAGTACATTACTTTAATCAGGGATCTTTTCCCCCCTTTCTAGATCTATAAAGTATGATTTAGCTGCTCCTCCCCATACCGAGTTGCAGTAGATTAATACGAATTAAGCTAGTGCGATATAGTTCGGTACTCATCACGTGTTTCAGAGAGTTTAAAACCCACATGAGCTTCATTACCCTCCCTATACTTAGTTCTAGATGTGGATACCAAATTAATCTCTGTTCCACAATGATTCCGGTATATGAGGTATTATTATATACGGCTAACTTTCTGAAATACTGGACAATTACATGTGTTAGGGAAAGGGTGTAGTGGCGGTTGAGAATATCAACTACCCCATATCTTCCCGTGGGTGTCGTAAGAGGCGACAGAGGGAGACAGGCAGGAGATGGGCAGCAGCATCTTCCTAATAACAATAATAACATAATAAAAAACTACGGTTGCCAACCCGCTCGCCAAGCGTGGCAACTATGGCAAATATCCCCCCATGAGCAACGACGCAAACAAACGGCCCACACTCCCCGGCAGCTCCGCTATTCCTGGCTACGGTGGCGACCATGGTAACGGCGGGGCAGAGGGTGCTAAGAATCTCCGGTAGAGGTTCGGTTGCCACCTACGACGACTCGACCTGGCAACATATAACGCACGCACCCTGAGGACTGACAAGAAGATACTGGAGCTGGAAGAAGAGGTAGACAAGTTACGCTGGCATATTATTGGATTAT